GGGCATTTACACCGGGTACTGGGGCCTCCAAGGTTGGGGGGAGGGTGTGGGTTTGGCAGATGCAAGCCTTGGCCCCACACACTGACCCCTCTGCTCTCCAGGCTGTCAGCTGGCCTGCTGCGCCAGGCCACCTACACCACTACTCGTCTTGGCATCTATACCGTGCTGTTTGAGCGCCTGACTGGGGCTGATGGGACACCCCCTGGCTTTCTGCTAAAGGCTGTGATTGGCATGACCGCAGGTGCAACTGGTGCTTTTGTGGGAACACCAGCGGAGGTGGCTCTGATCCGCATGACTGCCGATGGCCGGTGAGTTCCAACTCGGAGCCTGACCTCAGCCCCGATCCCCGGGATCTAGAATGAAATGACTTGCTTTTCTTTTTCTTTTTAAGACTTATTTATTTGAAAGGCAGAGTTACAGAGAGAGAGAGAAAGATAGGGAGAGCAAGAGCTTCCATCTGCTGGTTCACTCCCCAGATGGCTGCAATGGCCAGGGCTGGGCCAGGCCAGAGCCAGGAGCTTCACCGGGTGTCCCACATTGGGGCAGGGCCCCCAGGGCTTGGGCCGTCTTCCACTGCTTTTCCTAGGGGCATCAGAAGTGGAGCAGCTGCAACTTGAACCGGCGCTGATAGAGGAGTTGCAGGCGGCAGCTTAACCTGTTGCACCTTGACGCCTGCCCCCAAATGACCACTTTTTAACCCCAGATCTGGAACAGAGCGCTCACCTGTTCAGGCTTCCAGTCCAGTGCTCCCACGGGGCCAGGTGGGCCTTGCTGATCCTGTCCTCTCTTTGCCTTCCCACCAGGCTTCCGGCTGACCAGCGCCGTGGCTACAAAAATGTGTTTAATGCCTTGGTTCGAATCGTCCGGGAAGAGGGGGTCCTCACTCTGTGGCGGGTGAGTGAAGGGGCTGGAGACCTCGCGGGTGTGGGGTCAGGCCTCCGGCCTTTCTGACTGTCCACACTCCCCACCTCCAGGGCTGTGTCCCCACCATGGCCCGGGCTGTCGTCGTCAATGCTGCCCAGCTCGCCTCCTACTCCCAGTCCAAGCAGTTTTTGCTGGACTCAGGTGAGACCCAGAGCCGGACCCGTGGCCGCCAGCCTGACCCGAGCCACGTCCAGGCTGACGGTCATCCCCTTCCCCCGGCTCTCTCCCTCCAGGCTACTTCTCTGACAACATCCTGTGCCACTTCTGCGCCAGCATGATCAGTGGCCTCGTCACCACTGCCGCCTCCATGCCCGTGGACATTGTCAAGACCCGGTGCGTGCAGGCCCGGACCTGGTGAGGGGCTGGAGGACCCCCTCTCTGTGGCTCATGCCCCTGCTGCTTCTCTTTTAGGATCCAGAACATGCGCATGATTGATGGGAAGCCAGAGTACAGAAACGGGCTGGTGAGGAGCAGGACTTGGGGCTTGGGCTGGAGTGTTCGGATGCCCCGGGAGGGCCATGGGTCAGGGGCACAGGGCCCTACAGGCCAGGTCCTGGCCCCAGCGCCCCGCCTGCTTGTCTTCCTAGGACGTGCTGGTGAAGGTCGTGCGCTACGAGGGCTTCTTCAGCCTGTGGAAGGGCTTCACGCCGTACTACGCCCGCCTGGGTCCCCACACGGTCCTCACCTTCATCTTCTTGGAGCAGATGAACAAGGCCTACAAGCGCCTCTTCCTTAGTGGCTGAGGTGGCTGGGGGCTGGAGCCGGCGGCCCCTGCAGTGGCTGCGCCCCGGCGAGGTGGAGGGCCTGGACTCTGCCGCCCGGGGCCCCTCTATTTATTTCCCCTCCGCAGAGTGGTCTTCTCCTCGGTGGTAAAGGACTTTGGGCTGCTCTGTCCCCTGCTCCAGCTTGCCCTGCTCCGTGTGACCCACCCCATTCCTCGGGAGGAGCTGGGGGAACTCCCTGACGATTTCTGGGCTCCTCTTGGGTGTTAGCTTCAGTGGAAGAGCGCCTTCCCAGTGGGGGGCCTTCCAGGCAGAGTTGGGGGGATCAAGAGACAGCAGAAGCCATCCAGATGGCCAAGGGTCTGCGCTGGACTGACATGGTCCTCTTCCTCCATCACTGAGGACTTAATAAACTGGCTTGACGACACCACCCCCAAATCTAGAGAGTTGTGGAGGTGAAGAAGGGAAGGAGACTGGACAACGAGGCTGATGCCCCTGGGGAACAGGAACTGGAGTTTTTAACAAATTATTAATTAAAGAAAAAGCCCCTGCTGGTTTATGCAAATACTATGTAAGTCATTCCTGCCACCAAGCCTCCAGGCCTTGAGTGATGCTTCCCTGCCACTGACCCAAGGTGGCAGGTGCACACGTCATCTCCCATAATCCCCAGGAAAAGCTTCTGGGGTCACTGCTTCTGCAGCCTCGTGTGGTGGGGTACTAAAGAAATTCTTGAGTGTGGCCTTTGTGGGCTGGGGCCAGTGAGGGGTGGAGGGTTCCAGAGACCTGGCCTGGCGGCAGGCTGGAGAAGTGATTACCTTGTCCCTTTCTTGAGGAGCTGTGTGGTTCCCAGGCCCTGCTCTGAAGGAGCCTGAAAACCTCCTTAGGCATAAAAGGATATTGGAAGGTCAAACCGGGAGGAGCGCTGAGCAGCCAAAGGCCCGAGGGCCAGGTGCCAGGCAGGGGACAGGCAGGCAGCAGGTGGGAGCTGGGCCCTGGGCAGAGCCTTGTGGAAAGCCCAGCATCCTCGCTCCCCGGCCGCTGCCTCTCTGCCCCCTCCATGCACACGGTGCCCTGGGCTGTCGTAGCTACTTGGATGACCCAGGAGCAGTGGGAGATGGGGTGTAGCAATGGACGTGCAGGGGAGCTTGGGGCACCTGGCTTAGCCTGGGAGGAAAGGACCTGTGCCCGGCAGAAGTTGGGCTGTTGGCAAGGGGAGTGGGTGCTGCACTCCGGCCTGCAGGAGAAGCAGGGAAACAGATCTGTGGGATGTTCATGGTCACTGCAGCACAGATGGAAGCATCTGTCACGAGGGAGGAAGCTGGTGTGAACTTGCTCCCCTGGCTGGCCTAGGGACGAATACAAAGCACGAGGGGTGGGCCTTTGCTGCAGTAGTTCAGACACTGCTTGGGGCCCCTCTGGTTTCTGGCTTCCTGCTAATCTGCACCCTGGTTCGAGTACTTGGGTCCCAGGCTCGTGGCTTCAGCATGACCCAGCCCCAGCTGCTGGTAGGTATTTGGGGATTAAACCAGGGGATGGAAAATCTTCCCCTCTTTGGCTTTCAGATAGAAATGAACATACACAGAGGCTTACAGAAGAGGGAGATGCAGGCAGAGTTTCAGTTTGGGAAGATCTTTCCAAAGGCGTCTAGGGATGGAGGCACCATGGAGCCGGCTAGGCAGCGTCTGAGGTCCCGTACTCTTGGGCTGGAGGCAGCAGAATGAGCCTCACCTGCGTGGCTTAGGGAATGGCACAGCATGTGGAACCATGGGACCTACATCCTGGGTGGAAGGCGGGGAAACCCAAATAATTCACTCAAACCCCTAGCCTGGCCCACGATACCTGGGCCCGCCCTTCTGTGGGCAGTGGGGAGAGGTGCATGAACAGAGCTGCAGGTGCAGCAGGCAGATAGGCCGCAGCAGCCTCACCAGACTCCAGAGAGACTTAGCGTTCTTGAGCTGGATCTGCTGCTTGGGGCAGCCAGGTGGGTGGTCACCCTGGGGCGGTGCAGGCTTTGGCTCTGAGTCATTGTGACCAGGGTGGGGGGCCATTGGGACGGACCTTGAAGCATCTCATGACAGGTACTCAGCTATAAACATTTTTTCTTTTATAAACAATATACAATGATGGCATTGTGTATTAAAACTAGAAAATGCTAAACACAGTAAAAGAAAACTACCCTTATTTCTAATACCCAGACAATCAGGGCCCACATCGTGATAAAATTGCTGTCTATATTAGGAACAGAGGCAGGTAGGAGCCATGCTCTGTTTATTTGCTTTCGTCTATGAACTTCCCCGACATGTTGGGAATAACCACTTAAGTCTACCCCCCCCCCCCCGCATCAGGTGTTTGTTCCGTGCCCTGGCTCAAGCCCTCCATCCCACATTCCCTTCTGATACCTGGGGGCCGAGTGTGCCTGTGTGTGGAGAGGGGTTTTCAGATGAAATATGACTTCCCCAGAACGTGTGCTCCTTACCCAGCCACCCCAGCTAGACCCCGACAGGAAAGCCCCTTGGAGCTTCTCTCAAGGTTCCCAAACTACCCACCCTCAGAGACTGTGGCCAGCATACCTGATGCCCACTGTGCCCAGCAGGTCCTCACCACGTCCCTGACTCCGGGCTGAGGGCCGTCGGCCTGCTACCAAGGGCCCCACACGGCCATTAGGCCGTACCCACAGGAAGAGGCTGGAACGGAAAGTGGGGAGTGAGCCTTGAAGGAAGAGCAGCCAAGCTCGGGGCACGGTCACTTGCCTTCCCCTCTGCAGCTCCAGATGAGTGATTTGCGTGGCTGTGGCTGGAGCAGCAGCCTGGCCAGCGTCCAGGGCCTGTGGTTTCCCGTGCCGGACACAGGTCAGCAGTAGGATAAGGACCAGAGAGGCAAGCAGGAGCCAGAGGAGACCCAAGATGTAGAAGCCCAGGGATAGGAGGCAGCAGGAGTCAGAGTTGAGAAAAGGGTCTCTTCTGGAGCTTTTGAAATTCCCTCGAGACACCTCATGGACCACTGGGAAAGCTGAGAATTCTAAGCCAGTAGGGAGCGAGGCCATCAGGACTGTGGTGGGCTCAGGGGTGGTCGGGGCTGAGCTGGGCCCTGAGGTAGTCAGGGCTGTGGTGGGCTCAGCGGTTTTGAGAGCTGTGGTGTGCTCAGGGGTTTGGGGGGCTGAGGTGAGCTCAGGGGTTTTGGGGGCTGTGGTGGGTTCAGGGATGGTTGGGGCTGAGGTGAGCTCAGGGATGGTTGGGGCTGAGGTGGGCTCAGGGGTTTGGGGGGCTGCGTTGAAATCAGCGGTGCCTCACGCCGAGATGTCTTCAGCATATCAAGATATGTAGATATCTCCGGTGGTCTGTCAGCTGCGGTGGGCTAATGGGTATTTAGGGCTTTAGTATGCTGAGTAGCCGTCAGCACCGTGGTGTGCTCAGGGAATATGGAGACTGTGGTGTGCTCAGGGGTTTGGGGGGCTGTGGTGTGCTCAGGGGTTTGGGGAGCTGTGGTATGCTCAGGGGCTTGGGGGGCTGAGATGTGCTCAGGGGCTTGGGGGGCTGTGGTGGGCTCAGGGATGGTTGGGGCTGGGGTGGTCGGGGCTGAGGTGTGCTCAGAGGTTTTGGGGACTAAGGTGGGCCCAGGGGTGGTTGGGGCTGGGGTGGGCTCAGCCATGGGTGTTAGAGCTGTGGAGGATGGGGTGGGTTCTCCAGCGCCTGGGGCTGTGGAGAAGTGGAAGACCCGCCTCACTGTGAATGTGATGTGTTTCTTGGTGGATTCTTGGGTGGGCGGCAGGGAGGACATTTGACCCCACATAGCAGCCGAAGACTGTGAGTGGAGGAGGACCCCCTGGTCTGTGTGGGCTTCGGTGGTGCCAGTAGAGAACTCGTCCACCACTCTCGTGGCAGGAAGCACGTCACCTGCAGATTTCTTTTCATCTGGGTAGAAATCGTCATAGTCGTCCGCAATGATAACAGGAGGGCAGCCCTTGCCCGGGTAGGCGTGGACCGGTGTGTTGTGCAGATTGCCACAGCGCACGCTGTCCAGGTCGCGGGTCATGCTCTTGACATCCACACCTGCCTCCCACAGGTAGGCATTGGGATTTTTCTCCAGCCAGTTACGCAAATAAAGGATATCACAGTCACAGATCCAGGGGTTGTCGTGGAGAAAAACATAAGGCAGGAGGAGGTTCCCAAAGAAGCCGTTGGGTATGTTGCGCAGCCAGTTCCGGTGAAGGTAGAGGGTGTTGAGATATCCCAGCCCAGCCAAGAGCTGGGGGGGCAGTTCGTGCAGCTGGTTCTCAGCCAGATTGAGCTTCCTGAGCTGGCGCATGGGCGCCAGGAGCCCCGGGGGCAGAGCTTTCAGCTTATTGCCTTGCAAACAGAGCTCCCGGAGTTGGCTCAGGCCGTCCAGGGCTCCGGCAGACAGCGAGGCCAGCTGGTTGTAAGAGACGTCCAGCGTGGTGAGGGCGGGCAGCGCAGGCCCCAGCGGGGGCAGCGTTTTGAGCTTATTGTGGGAGAGAATCAGCTGGTCCAGCAGGGGCAGCGTCCCCTTCACCTGCAAACTCGTCAGCTGGCTTTGATGCAGGTAGAGCTGAACGAGGCGAGAGAAGGACACCAGGGCGTCCATGGAGAAGGTGACCAGGGGGTTCTCCCCCAGCCGGAGGATGGTCATGTTCGCTGGCAGGCCCGGGGGCAGCGCCTTCAGCTTCCGCTGATCACAGTTCACTTCCACCTGGCTGGCCACCTCGGAGACCTCACAGTTGTTCTGGAGGTGTGAGGGGCCGGGCAGCAGCAGCAGCAAGAGGAGGAGCAGCATGGGCACCTGTGGGCAAGGGGGGGCTTGAGTGGCCGCGCCACCAGCCTAGCCCTGCTCCTGCAGCTCCCAGGGCCCCTTCCACGACTCGCAGGCCTACTCCTCGCCCCAGGCCCTTAGCAACCCCACTCCCACCCCCAGACCCCAGTGCTCCCCCAGCCGACCCCAGCTTACAGGCAAGCAGAGAGCCCTCCGCAGGCACAGGGCGACATCCAGGGTGCGACCCACGGTGTGACTTGCTCCTTCTCTCTTGCAGCTCCAGGGAAGGCTGGGCAGAGGCAGGAAGAGGGTGGGGATTGGGAGGAAACCCCAGCCCGATAGGGACCCCTGTGTCCCGGAGAGCGGACACAGGCACTTATCACCTCCCTCCACCACTTTCCTCCAGCCCCTCTCTCCGTGTACCCCCCGCCCCCGCCTTCCTTCCACACCCACCAGGGAGCCCAGGGTGGACTCCTACAACCCCACCCTGGCCACCTGTTACACCGCATCTTTCCACTTGCCACCCCTTCCCCATTCACAGCTACGCTGCCTGATTGAATTCTCCCGCCTCATCCCCCACCGCCCTCTCGCCTCACTCTGGGCTGTTGCCTTCCCTGTGCCACCCCACTGACTTCACTCTCGCTAGGGCTGCCTGCGCCCCTCCTCTGTGGCCCTGCACCTGCACACACGCATGGCCACGCTCTGCTGTGGGCTTCCCTTCAGCCCAGGTGCCACCTGCCAGTGATTTTCCAGGTTTTCCTCTTACCTGTCTGGGCCCCTTTTCCTCGCTTCCTGAGCAGTCGCTGGCCAGCACTTGTTCTTTCTTCCCCACTTCTGCCCCATGTCCCTCAAATTCTTATCTCTAATCCAGACCCATCCCCCAAGACTCAAACCCTTTTGGCCAACTGCCGATGTGGAGGACTAAAACAAATGTCTCGGGGCCAGCGCTGTGGCACAGCGGGTTAATGCCCTGGCCCGAAGCACCGGCATCCCATAAGGGCGCCAGTTCAAGACCCAACTGCTCCACTTCCGATCCAGCTCTCTGCTATGGCCTGGGAAAGCAATGGAAGATGGCCCAAGCCCTTGGACCCCTGCACCCACGTGGGAGACCCGGAAGAAGCTCCTGGCTCCTGGCTTCGGATCGGCACAGCTCCGGCCATTGCGGCCATCTGGGGAGTGAACCAGCAGATGGAAGACCTCTCTCTCTCTCTCTCTTTCTTTCTCTGTGTGTGTGTATATAACTCTGACTTTCAAATATATATATATATATATATATATATATATATATAAAGAAGTCTCAAACCGGACTCATCATCTCTCTCCTGCGTCCTCCTGTGTCCAACCTGGTGGATGACAGTGCCCTACCCTCGGGCACCCACCTGACAGGCAGCCCTGGCTCCTCTCTGTCATCCCCACGTCCAGCCTATCTGCAAGTGCCACTGATCTCGTCCCTGCCTCTCTCACACCGCCTCTCGTCCAGCACCACCCGACCCCAGCTACAGCACGGTCCCCTCCACCGCTTCCATGTAGCAGCGTACTGCCCGCTGCCCCGATCTGCCCATCTGCCCGCTGCTCTCTGTTCCCCACAGAGCCGTCTTTCAGAGCTGCAGGCCTCCTTATCTCCTTGAACTGCCTGGGGCCAGAGCTGTCAGCTGGAAATTCAACCCAGGTCTCACACGCGGGTGGTGGGAACCCAAGGACTTGAGCCATCACCGCTACCTCCGAGGGTCTGCATTGGCAGGAAGCTGGAGTCGGAGCCAGAGCCAGGATCTGACCCCAGGCACTCTGAAATGGGACATGGTCAGCTTGTCAATTTTTTTTTAAAATAGATTTATTTATTTACTTGCGAAGCAGAGTTAGAGATAGAGACAGGAGAGACAGAGAGGTCATCCATCTGCTGGTTCACTCCTCAAATGGCCACCATGGCCAGAGCTGGGCCAATCTGAAGCCAGGAACCAGGAGCTTCTTCCGGGTCTCCCGTGCTGGTGCAGGGGCCCAAACACTTGCGCCTTCTTCCACTGCTTTTCCAGGCCATCAGCTAGATCGGAAGTAGAGCAGCTGGGACTCGAACCAGTTCTCATATGGGATGCCAGCACCACAGGCAGAGGCTTAACCCATCTATGCCACAATGCCGGCCCCGTCAAATTTTTTTTAAGAATTATTTTTTTTAATTTATTTGAAAGGCAGAATTATAAAGACAGAGAGAGAGGGAGAGACAGATCTTCCATCTGCTGGTTCATGCCCAAACTAGCTGCAATGACTAGGGTTGGGTTGATTTGAAGCCAGAAGCCCAGAGCTTCTACTGCTCTCCCAGGCATATTAGCAGGGAACTGGATCAGAAGAGAAGCAGCTGGGTCTTGAACCGGCACCCTTATGGGATTCTGGCATCACAGGCAGAGGCTTAACCTACTATGCCACAGCGCTGGCCGCCAGGTTGTCATTTCCTCTCCTGTGCCTGAACTCTCCCTTCAGCCCTTGCCCGTTTCTGCCTAACTCATGGGTACCTGGCAGGTTGCAGCTCAGAGTTTGTCCCACTGGAAAGCCTTTAATGACTTCCAAAGAGCAGGCCGGGTGCTTGTTCCAGAGAGCCAGCCACCCTGCCTCTCCCAATGATGGAAACACCCCGCTCTGCTCTCCAGGAGGGGCACCAGGCAACCACGTGAGCCCACCTCTGCCTCCTTTCCACTTGCGACCCGCAAGGGGCAGACGCCCGAGTCAGAGGCAGGGAAGCCACAGGCCCACCTTTTTTTTTTTTTTTTTTTTTTTTTTTTTTTTTTTTTAACAGGCAGAGTGGACAGTGAGAGAGACAGAGAGAAAGGTCTTCCTTTGCTGTTGGTTCACCCCGCAATGGCCACTCCAGCTGGCGTGCTGCAGCTGGTGCACCGCACCGATCCGAAGCCAGGAGCCAGGTGCTTCTCCTGGTCTCCCATGGGGTGCAGGGCCCAAGCACTTGGGCCATCCTCCACTGCACTCCCGGGCCACAGCAGAGAGCTGGCCTGGAAGAGGGGCAACCGGGACAGAATCTGGCGCCCCGACCAGGACTAGAACCCGGGGTGCCGGCATCGCAGGCGGAAGATTAGCCTAGTGAGCCACGGTACCGGCCCCACAGGGCCACCTTTTACTTAAGCTGCGAGCTGCAAGGAGCGTTGGAAGATGTGGAGAAAATGTGGCAGTGTCAGGGAGACAGCAGAGAGAGAAGCCGCGCTGTTGAGCGAGGGTTGGCTTTCACTGTATTGCTGCCAAAGTTTCCACTTGTAAGCAACAGAAATGTTCTGGCTAGTTTAGGCTAAAGAGGAATTTATTACAAACACATTTTCTCTGTCTCTCCCTCTCTGTCACTCTGCCTTTCAAATAAAGAAATAAATCCTTTTTTTAAAAAAAAAATGGGGCTGGCATTATGGCACCTTGGGTTAAGTCTCTGCTTCCCGTGCTGCATGCATGGAGTGCTGGTTCGAGTCCCGGCTGTTCTGCTTCTGACCCAGCTCCCTGATAATGTACCAGGGAAGGCAGCAGAAGATGGCCCACGTACTTGGGCCCCTAGAACCCATGTCGGAGACCTGGATGAAGTTCTTGGCTCCTAGTTTCAGCCAGAGAGTGAGCCAGCAGCTGGAAGATCTTTGTCTGTCTCTGTCTCTCCCTCTTTGTCACTCTGCCTTTCAAATAAATAAATAAAAATACATTGGTTGCATCTCGGGCCTCTCGCTGGGGGCTAGAGAAGCAGACATGAGCTGCGCAGCCCCGAGCAGTGCCCGGACGCAGGCTGCAGAACCAGTCTGGTAGCAGCACTGTTCCTGCTGCCGTGCCAGCTCACTGAGGCTTGCCCGGCTCCAGCTGCGGAGCCAGCAACCCAGTCACCACCGCCTCCTGTGCATGGAGCGGGAACCCTGCCCAGCCCTAGCCCTTGGTGCTGCCGGCTCCTAAGTCCCTGCGTCATTCTCATCCGTCCTGAGCCTATGACCAAGCCACAAGGGAGTCTGGGAAAGCGAGTGTCTGGCATTTGCAGTTTCTGTAACAGGAAGTGTGTTCAGCTTCCCCAAAGATTCCTGAGGGAGAGTTTTCCACACACAGACGAGAGACTCACCCCGGCACCCACCGAGTGATCCTATGTTTTACTCTCTTCAAATGTTAATCTTCTGGATTATGTTAACACATTTCAAACTGAAGACCTTTGAGTCCGTGGAATTAACACTGCGTGGTCATTGTGCATTAATCTTAAATTTTTCTTTAAATATTGATTTATTTATTTGAAAGGCAGAAGGAGTTCACTCAAATGATAGCAAAGGCCGGAGCTAGGCCAGGCTAAAGCCAGAAACCCAGAAGTCCACCCAGGTCTCCCAGGTGGGTGCAGGGGCCCAAGCACTCAGGCCATTCTCTCCTGCTCTTCCAGGTGCATTAGCAGGGAGCTGGATTGGAAGTGGAGCAGCTGGGATTTGAATCGGCACTCATCTGGGACACTGGTGTTGCAGTTGGCAGTTTAATCTGCTATGCCACAACACTGGCCCGAGACACAGAGATTTTAAACAAGTGATAAAAATATAATCAATCTTATAATAAATTTTGACTTCTACATGAAATCGATGATTTTATTAGAAAAAATAAATTATAGACACTGACTCAAGAAGTGGAAACATCCAATGTAGCAATTAGAAAAGCATTTGGCCAGTGCTGCAGCTCACTAGGCTAATCCTCTGCCTGCGGCGCCGGCACACCGGGTTCTAGTCCCAGTCGGGGCGCCAGATTCTGTCCCGGTTGCCCCTCTTCCAGGCCAGCTCTCTGCTGTGGCCAGGGAGTGCAGTGGAGAATGGCCCAAGTACTTGGGCCCTGCACCCGCATGGGAGACCAGGAGAAGCACCTGGCTCCTGCCTTCGGATCAGCGCCATGCGCCGGCAGCTGCGCGCCGGCCGCAGCGGCCATTGGAGGGTGAACCAATGGAAAAGAAAGACCTTTCTCTCTCTGTCTCTCTCTTATTGTCCACTCTGCCTGTCAAAAAAAAAAAAAAAAGGCATTTGAAGAGTTCTCTCCCAAATGGCATCGGGTGAATTTCATCAACCAATGTGGGCCAGACAATGGCTGTGACCTCTGTCTCAGAGAACACGGCTGGCATCATACTGATCACCAAAGAAAACAAAGACACCCCCAACTCCATAGCCCACTCCTGTTTTCTGGCTCAGATGCAGAAGTTCTTAATAGAACTGAGCACATCAACCCAGAATGATAGTAAAAGAATAATGCAAATAAAAAAAACACATTGTGGCACTGGCATAGCAG